CATTTGTCCTAATTCCAAAAAAAAACTGCTAAATAATGGAGCAAAAACATGGCCTTTTTATGCTGCGATGTTTTACACCACAGTGGCGATTAATTATTTGACGTATTTGGTTTTAAGTTTAACAATAATTTTATGAGATTGGCGTTTTGAGAAGTGTGTAATTAAGATGTTTCATAAGTCTTGGCCGATTTCATTTTTGCTAAATAGCTTCAATTTTGTACAAGTTTAACTTTATTGGCGAGTTATTCGTCGTTATGATGATTTGTAAAAAATTGCTGTTGTTTCAAAATATTAAGTGTACGAAGTCTAGAGGCTTGGATGTCAAAAGTTAGCATAAGCATTTTCTAGACCAGATATTTTACAGCAGTTTTTGCTCTATATATGGAATTCCGAGAACTGGTAATCACCTGAACTTTGCTTAGTGTTGTAAAATAAAGAAGGCAGAAATTTATACGTCCCGCGTTATGAACTTTCTGCCCTCAGGTCTGCTTGAAACGCTTGACCGAAATTGCTTTCTGTTCACGGTATTTATCTAAGGCGTGAAAATAGAAATCATGTTAAAAACGAAAAATCGGGTAAAAAGGCGATAGCAGGAAAGGGCGGAAAATAGAACTGCAGAAGTCGTGTAGAATATGATACTAATTTTTATTCAGCGAACTTCTGGCTTGTCAAGCTGTGTAGTGCGACAACTCGCAAAAACTTACGGGAAGATCGGACATTTGAATCGTTTTTATTATGTGTCTTGTGACTATTACAGAAATTTTTAGATTTCATTGCTACCAGCACATTTCTACAAGCCGTAATATTATTTGATCTCAGTAGTTATGTGTAATGGAAGGGACAGAACCGAAAAATTTGGATATCGAGCGCCAGAATCGGGAAAAGCCGAGACGAAAACGATACAGGCCGCGTACTAAAGGATACAGGCTTTTTGTGAAGGACGAGGTTTCGTGCTCTTCAGTATAACGAAGTTGTTGGGTGTAGGGTTATGTAAATGTGACGTGGAATACTTTTTAATTAATTTTCTTACCATATTTAAAAATGAAGGCCTGGCCCGTTTTGAATGGAATTAACGAGTAACAAACAGCTAGCTGTAGCAAATTATTACATTTGTAACGGAATATTTGTACGAAATGTTGTATGTTTAGAAAAGCTGATTTTTCTTATTTGTTCTAATTTGTGATTTTTTCAGATTGAAAAAGCGTTGTGTGCGCAGCCATCTCCTGTGAACCATTTGTTTTCAACGGATGATAGCGGAATCTGTTCTGCTAGCCTGGATGACCTAGTTTCTTTTTTGGAGCTCAATTCGGAAAGTTATAGTAAACTCTCCGTGGCTGCATTAAAAAGTATTAGTAATATATCTTCCATTTTCCGAATCGACGGCTCACCGAGTGAGGGGTTGAGGATTTTCAGAAAATCTGTTGTGCCGAAACAAGATTCAACAGTTGTTTACGTGGTTCGTACTCAACGTACCATTTGGTCTTCTTTCTTTTAGCTTTTGGTGAGGTGGTGAAATTAGCTAGTCGTTGTTTACTTCATTAATTACTAGAAGCAAGTGTTTGGTTTAGGAAGAAGTTAATAAAGAGATCTCGAGTTTAACTCATATTTTCCATTGGTATTGGAAGAAAAATAGAACTAGGTTGATCAGATTTTGTATTTTTTTTTTCTTTTGTGTGTGTGGGAACTACAAGTTGATAGTTCGTCATATTCAGGACAACTTGCCCATGCAATGCCGTCTTCTTTATGTCTTGCGTAGAGCTTCAATGTTTGGTACGGTTGCTTCTGTGCGACCGAGGTTTTTCGGCGAAAGAGAAGAGAAATTGTGTTACACATTTTCATCGGAGCGTAGTTCTGCGTCTTCAAAAACTGTTTCTTTATTTAGTACCCGTCGTGTTGAAAGTGCATTTATACAATTTGTCGATCCATCTTCAGCAGAAAAGTTTTGTCGGGTATGGTTATTTTTTTACTTCTTGTTACACTTAGATTTTTTAATTTCGCAGTGATAGCATTCAGAAAAAGCACTACATTTTTTTCAGGCTTATAAACTCAATATGCCGGGAAATATTATTAGTCCTGGTAAGCGGATAAAAAGACTTATTTCTAAAAGAAAGAAGTCTGCCCATCGTGCTATTGCTTATCAAAAAAGTGCTTATTTGAGCAAGAAGGCATATGCTCAAAAAGGTGAAGCTTGCGGGTTGGTAGAGGAAAGCTCACTAGCCGATAGTTTTGTTCGGCTGGACGGCAAAGTTACGCTCGGCACTCAGCAGACTAGTGAAAGGTTTAGTCCAGAAGAAAAGAAGGAAAAGGTGGAGGATTTAAGAAAAAGGAAAGGGCCATCTAACTCACCTTTGATAGCTCATAAAAGGTGCTGTCGAGGTTTGTTTTGTCAATTACTGTACTTGCTTTGACCCTTTGTAACTATGCCATCTGAGTTCTAGAATGCTGTATGGATGTTTGGTGGAACAGAAGAACAGCAGCGGGATAATGAGAAATTTTTGTCAGCAATCTCTTCTAAGCGCTTCGCTCTGGAGGCTACACTATTACCGCTTTTTTGAATTAAACTGTTTTTCTTTCTAGATGAAAAAGAATTCTGTACTAATAATCAAGATCGGCGGAGAACAGTCAGTAGTAGCTACGAGACTGTTGAACGTGGCGAAGAAAAACCAACACGTTACAGTGATACGACGGAACCGCCTCGAGTTGTTGATGAACTTGTCGAAAAGGTACCGAGTGACATTCCATTGGAGCATGATCTTTGTGCAGGTATCATGCAAAATTTGCTTGAAAAAGTAGAAATTCACAACCTTTGACTTTTACGAGTCATCCTGCTTTAAACCTTATATTTTTTAGGCAAACAACAAGCTTAGATACCTAATTAAAAAGATGAAAGACATTACCTTTGAAATTCATTCTTGCGATCCATATCTTTTTAAAACCAGAAAAATTTTTGGGTCTTTGTGCAATTCTTTCTGAACTATTAATATTATTGCTTCGAGTAAATGGTTTTTCTCACGTGAGAGTTTATATTTTTTGGGTTAGAGGTTGACCACTTATTCCTCGCTATGTAATATAAGTTTAATAGGGCAAAGCGATTCACGATATGAAGGGGAGAGGGTGAGACTATTTTTATTAAAATGGAACTGTTTTGTGTAGATTTGTCTAGTCTGTAATATGCGTCAGTTCCATAAAGCGGGTGAAGGATGAGTGATAAACGACTCGAAAAAAAAAGTGGGACGGGATTTAAAAATTTTGCACATCGTCGAGTAGTCATGAAATTGGTTGACTGGCTCTGGCTTTTTTTCTTCAGAAGCATTTCCCCTTACCCGAACAGCGACCATTTTGATGGAAGCGTTCGTTCTGCCACAACTCATTATTCCAACCTTTATTTTATAACAGGAATTGCACGTCTTTTAATAAACGGAGTTTAGTGTGGAATATGTTTCTTAAAAGAATAAGTATATCCTACTTTTTCGAAGCGTCTGTGATACTGTTTCTGTTGGTCTTGGCTTTTCTGCGTATGAATCACATATTAGGTGTAAGTAATCCTAAGTTCAGGAACATGAGAGTTTAGGTGTTGAGAAGCTGTGGATATGCAAGAATACGGGAAGTTTCCAACACTTAACAAGTTTTAGAGCTCGCTTCTTAGATGTCTTCTTTTCTTTTTTTTTTTTTACGATCAGGTTTATGAGCTTTCTTTTGCTTTTGTTTAAAAGAACCTGAATGCATTAAGGAATCTGTGTTTTTGACGTGAACTAACTTTCACTTCCGTCCCAATAGAAAGAAGTTTTAGCCTCAAGTGTTACTGGTCTTAGTCGACTTGGTAAACTGCAAAAAGGCACAGGGTTAAAAGAGTGTGTACAGAACGATTCGCCGTTTGTCGCTGATTCGGAGTCTTTGGTCGCTGAGACGTCGGAGGGATGCAGGGGAAGTTTGCGGCATTCCTGTGGAAATGAACAAGGACACTCTAGTTGTCAAAGCTGTTCGGAGATTGTTTTCAAAAAAAAAAGGTCAGTAGTCGTTTAGGTTTCTCCAGTTTTGAAGTTTAAATCGGCATTTATACTGTTATATTATTGTTCACTATTGTTAGAAGGCGCAAGAAAATACAGAGAAGACGAAAAAGAGTGGGCTTCAAAAAAAGAACTAGAGCAGTTCACTTGACGCGTTATTTCTCTCATATGCAAGTGATACCTTTGTACGTTTTTTTTGTGGAATAGTAATTATTTATATACAGTACACTTTTCAAAAAGAAGAACTTTATATTAGTTTCGTACTGCGTGAGCATTACTTTTAGAAAGTTGTTCAACGAGTATCGGTCAGAATACTTGAAGCTGAAGAAAAACAATATGGTTAATTTGAAAAGAATGCTGAGTTTGAAAACAATCTCTTGGAGATCTTTCAGTAGCAATAGTATGAGAGTCAGGAAGATCAGAGGCAAAAGCAAGGTATCTTTAATAAAAAGGTTATTTATATTAACAATATTTCTTGGTAGTTTTGATAGTGTTACTAAATTTTGCATTATTGAAACTTCTATGATGTCAATGTTTAGTTATTTTTTTCGGTTTTGCTTTTGCAGAAAAATTTATTCTGCTGGTGACATTTACAGGATTTTTCACTTAAACTTGTGGTTCTGAGTGAAATTAATTGGTGTATAGACTAATCATTTTTTTAGCTGGTCGCTCGTGCTGTGGCTTCACGTTCTCACCAAGAACAAACAGTAAGTTGATTGTGCGGACTGTCGGGATTTAACTGCTTATACTACCTATCCAGATCGAACATTTTGATAATTTACTTTTTACTGTTTATTTGTTCTTCTGGTGTTCTCGCAGTTACGGCAATTAACAATTCCGATTTTTGTTTTAGGGAGTTCGGGTTTCATTGTTTGATATAAAACTAATGTGCTTTCACGTTACTTCAGATATTTCTTGTGTTTCGTGATCTCTTTTACTTTTGCAGTGGTTTTCGTGCCTGTATAACAGAGATATTTTATGCATTTGTATTTTCATGTGATTACTTCCTAATTGCTTCACTGTTTCTTTTTTCTTTTTTTTAACCTTTGTCAATTAATTTTAATTGTTCCTAGACTTTGTTAAGATTGATTTATTTTATTTCACTTTTTGTAGTCTGAAGCAGGTAGGGAGATTCTGTGTAATTGAACTTTTTGTGAGAGACCTGTGTGGTTTTTAGGTTCATTTCAAATGAATTTTCAAAGATTCCAAGAGTAAATACAATTCTTACTTCGTTTGGAAAGCAAAGTACCAAAGACAAAAGCACTTGGTAGAAATCCTTCTTTTGTTTGCGCTTTTATGGGTTGCCAGGATTGGAGACGGTTTATATTTCTGTAAAAGTCGTGAGAAGAGGAACAAATATTTTATCTTCGGCTTCTTAAATATAACAAACAGTGTTGCTTACACGAATTTTTTCTTGGTTTTTACTCATCAAGCATTCCAAATATTACACACCGTGTTCATATAAAAAAGTGGACGGAGGAAGTTCTTCTAGTGACTGGGGGTTGTGTACTAGAGTCAGAAAAAATAAAAAGTTTTCTTTAAGTCTTTTTGCTACGATTATTGCAGTTGTACAAAGAAAAAATCCGTGTTGCGGAATTATGACATCCTTGGGATAGCATAATGAAGAGCCATAGAGCGAGGGGATGGGGCGAGATGCGTGGATAAATATATTGATAAAACAACCAATTTTTGCCCGTTTCAACAACATACACGTGAACAATACAGAAAATGGTGAATCTTTTTTAGACAACGCGAGATTAGAAACCGTAAGATACAAGGAAAAAATATAATATAATATTATAAATAACCACATCTGCTAGCTGACAACTGTTTCCACATAGACTCGCCGATATACTGCAAATGACAGTCGGCATGAGGTTTTTTTCGCTTTTACCCTGCCTTTAAATTCTGTTTTTGGTTGTGAGCTTCAT